GATGAAATGGTAGTGGGGTTTCGGGCTGCTCTATGGTGGGCCTGTGCCCCTAATGGGTGAATAAGGGGTAGCTAGGGGCAGGCGGAGGCTTGCCATGATACAACCCCGCTGTGAGGCTGATTTGAGGTGAGCGCAGGGAAGAAGGAAGGCGCCAAGCAGGCTTTGATTTGCCCCTCCCCAGCCCCGGGGCCTGGAGGCTGGTTGGTGTGAGATGCTGAGCTCTGGGTGCGTCCCAGTGGACCCCTGGCGGCGGAGAGAACAGGCTGGAACTGCGGGCTGTGGAGCAGGGGGTTGGGACGTAGGCTGCCGAGAGCCAAATTGAGATGTGGGAGTCGTCGAATTTGCCTAGATGAATATTGAAGAGGGCATTTGCGGGCGCTGTGTGGGAAATCAGCTGCTGACAATAGACTGCTAACCAGGAGAGGGAACATCCTGACCTGCCCATGCCTCTCTCTGCAATTCGTCCAAACATCAGTCACAAGCTGATAGTTAAATAATGTACCACCACGGATTCACTCTGCAGAGACAGAATCAAACATTAGCGCAAAGTTAAAGGGAGAGAACTTTATGTATGATGAAGTTCTCCGGAGTTCTGTCAAATACTTGAACTGGGGATTGCAAACTACCCTGCCCACAGTTACCAGGGTACTGACCTGATTCTGCCTTCTGACATTTGAAATATTTGTATGTCAAGAAGTTTATCGAATGTCACTCTGTTTAGGCAGACACAGGAAGCTCCATTAGGACTTGATAACCTTCATATAATGCCAAACTGAACTCGGTTGTGGGAAGGTACCAAGCTCCTTGTGGCACTGAGCCTCTCCGCCCAAAAGTTGATCAGAAAAATACCTCACACAATTGCAGTAATCCCCCATGCTCTTGTTGTGTTGGGTTGCTGGAGTTTGAGCATTCTCTCTTTCCCTCGTCTTTCAGCCTGCGCTAATCGTGAATGATTCCCTCTGTCTATAGCGTCAATGCCAGGCCCGGTGAATCAGGTACATAAGCCTAAGCCGCTTGGAGAGGTGCTCTTATTAAACTGTAGCCAGCTGCTGGAATATTTCTTCCCCCTCTCATTGTTAATTGGGGAGTCTTGAGTCCTTCCCTGGAGTCGATTTGCAAGAGAAAGAAAAAAAGGAGCAAGAGATTATTGCACAGGAGGAGAGGAGCTTTGAAGAAGTGTTTTGTGATTTCACTGTATATCCTTCACTCCTCTCCTCCTTGTTCGCTCTCCATGTGCTCCCCAGCCAAAACCTGTTTGTGCCACTGACAACAGGGCTTTGAGAAGTCCGAAGGTGGAACACAGCATATGTCTGGCTTTGGCTCAGAGGTACAACAACAACACCTCCTCTGATGTTTAGGCTTTTAGGAATGGCTGCAATGGGGGAAATAGTTGCAATGGCTCTTTGTGCACCCCTGAAACGTACATGTGCCAGTTCTAGAGACTCAGATTTACTGAGTGCAGGCCGGAGGGCAGTTCAGATGCTTGAGAGTCAAGGACAGTTGGCATGTGAAGAGACAGCAATCCTTGTTTTTAACCTCAGCCTCTTCAAAATACCTTCAAAAACAACAAACAACCAGGGTTTTGTTTCACTTCTCATGTCTTTGAATAGACTGGGCACCCTTAAGTTAAGCCCCCCTTGCCAGAGCCCAACTCTTGGAGGAAATGGCCCCACTCCATATCTCATTATCTCTTTTAAAATTTCATTTTGTCATTGCATCCAGGCTCTCTTTTATGCCGCCATATTAAAGGCCATGCTTAGGGTTTTCTCTGAAGGTATTCGCACCACAGTTTTACAATAGAGACCCCAGACAAGGGGGAAAAGGGGAAAACCTGGGCTTTAGGATTTAATGAGTGGCTTGCTGGGGGTGAAAAAACGATAGAAAGCAAGTGAGGGAGAGCAAGGGAGAGTGCATTTGTAGAGGTTTAGAGAGAGAGAGAGAGAGAGAGAGAGAGAGAGAGAGAGAGAGAGAGAGAGAGCGAGAGAGAGAGAGAGAGAGAGAGAGAGAGAGAGAGAGAGAGAGAGAGGAGAAAGAGTAGTATGGGAGGAAGAATGCAGGAATGGAGCACAAGGTACCATAATAGTGGGAGAGAAAGCTCCTGAAATACTAGAGCTGGGGCGTGTGCTCTGATCAGGACGGCAGTGAGCACAATTACCTTCTTTTCAAATCCTTCAGTGACACTGCGGGAGGAAGGAGGACTTTGAAACTTGAAAGGCAGGAGCCTGCTTTCAACCTCAAACGCGAGCAGGAAAGGGCTCTGAAATTTGTTCAGTGCTCCCCATCCACCATTAGCTTGTTTCTTCCTCTCGCCTCCAGGCATTTAAGCGCTTTTTGAAAAGATGTTAAGAAATTCAATCACCATAGAGAGAGAGCGGGATAGTTCTTTTTTCAGTTTTTTTGAGAGGCATGCTTTCCTCTGGTCCACAGAGGACCGGCCTGCTGCTTTTGTATTGGGCTGAATAGACCTGCAAACTGGTGGTGGACTGGATGCGGCAACCATGGGAAAAGAGAAGAAAATAAAAGAGGAATGGAAAATTAGGGAGGGAAAAAGGGAAAGGGTCTTTTGGGCCGATGGTCAGAGTTGGAGAAGTGTTGCATGGGTGAACTTTTCAAAGTTGCGTGTGTTTACCTGTGTTTGCTCTGTCTTCATTAGCCCGTTTTTGACAAGCCTGACATGCTGTAAGAGTAGAACAAGTTTCCACCTAGAGGTAGAGAAAATAAACCTTCAGATTTCTGTTTCCTTCTACCAGTCCAAGGGGTCGATTGACCCTTGGACTGCTGACTGTTTGTTTAACCATTTAAGGTTCTATAAATTCAAGTAATAAAGCCCTTTAAGGTGGTTTATGGTCGAATGATGAACCCCCTCTGTGGGCTTTCCATGGTGACTGGAGGGGGATGGTGGGACTGTGACACTGCTGTGATTGAACTATTAGTCGCTTGACCTCCCTTGCAGGAGGGAGACACATCTAAATAGCACTGGGGGTCACTGGAGAAGGTGAAGAAAGAAAGGTGGAACAACAGGGACAACATTTACAAGACATATTGAAATAGAGAATAAATAGAATGCATACAGTAAAGGCGTCTTGAGCAGTTTTTCATGAGTTTTGCAGAAGATGATAAAGGCCAATTTTAGTGCACACTAGTGGCCTAACTGCTATTTACAGCCCAGTGATGAATCGTTTTACAAAACATTAAATATATGTGAGCGAGCTTCTGGATATGAACAACATTTTTACTGCCCTTCAATGTCAATTTCCAATCATCTAGTTGCAAAAGAGTGGAAGCCTGTGCTACACACATCTACAGGCTCGAACCTTAGCAGTGCTTGCTCCCAGCATACTTTGCAATCTCGACCTCTTCCAATCCAAGTCAGAAGATGAACCAAATTCTGAAATCCCTTTATGTTAATATTGCGCTTTGCAAGAGCAGACCTATTAATCCAGCTTTAACCGTATAAGTGCCATTATTCCCTTAATAAGATCACTGGCTGTGCAGTATAGGATTAAATACTTATATCATAACTGACACTGTCATTTCCTAAGGATGAGAGTGGCTTGCCTCTCTGGCTGTCAGTTCCGCGTTAAAAATCCTTGAATCTGCTGCCAGTGCTGCGCTAAAGCAAGGCTAGGCCGAACGCCGGTAATGGATGTGGGAGAGTGAGGGGAATAAAAGAGGGACCTGTGGGTTGCTCCTTCTGCTCACTCTTCTTCGCCTCTCTCAATGTCATTCTCTCTTTCTGCTTCTATCTCTTAACCTCCCCTTTTCTGATCGCTTCTCTTCTTCTGTGAAGTGGTGCAGCATTATGTCGGCCCTCTTCAGTGCTTATGGTCGTGCTCTTTAATCTGGCAATCTCCTCTGTTGTAAATTGGCAGTTGGATTCTGTTGGGTTGCAGTGCATAGTGGGGGAGCCCTAATACAGAACCTCTGGCACAGACACAACGGCATATTGCCAGATTCTTAGTGAGCGCGATGAACCCAGGAAGGAACATTTGATTAAACTGATGAAAACCATCTCCTTCAATGGTGAATTGCATGTAACCGGGGCTAAACATTGAGGCCATTCACAGAAGCAAATGAAAAATGAGTCAGGGCCTACCTCTCCTGATTTGACAGCATTTGGTAAAGCGCCTTGATCTGCAAATGCAACCTCAAAGGTAAAAAGCATTCAAGCCATTTTTAGCCATCATTATTGTGTTCTATGCTCTGCCAGTTTCTGAGTAAGTCTATATTGTACTACAGAAAAGGTTAATACCAGGTTAGGAGGCTAACTGACCTTTATACATGTCAGTTCATAGGTCAGGCTAAGGGTCAGGGGTCATGTCTTTCTGGTGATGCTCAGCCCTTGAACTTAAGTCCACATTTATCCTCTTTACCCAGCATGCCAGGAAGCTTTCTCCTGAGACCCTACTCCTCCTCCTAATTTCACCCTTAGAGTAAGACAGATTTAGTTTTGAGAACTGAGAGAGTGGGGAGAAGGAGAAAACAGGAGAATAAAGGAGGGTGGGGTTGATAAAACCCATGACGCTGGTTAATGGGCAGCTTGGAATGCAGACAGGAAGCCTGCGTAGCCTCCTCCTCCATGGGAATCCATTTATTTATGGGAAGATTAGACAAAGCTGAATTTGAGAACAGAGTTTTAAAAAAACTGTGCGAAAAAAATAGCTTGAGATTTTTTCATCCATGGTGTCCATTTGCTCATACATGTACTCCCTCTGACTCTGAACTCCCACATCTGGTAGAACCAGGCAGAATTACACCCATAATGCCCTGTAGGTTTTTCGTGTACAAAGCTGATCTCCAGCTCCCCCCCCCCCCCGTGCTTTCTACGTGAATTGACTTTCTCACGAGGGTATGGGTGTTCAGAACGTGAATGTGTATGAACCAGGGAGAGAGAGATTCTCATATCTTTTTCCAACTTTGAATATCTTTCTCACAGCTAGTTGTTCTCTCGTTTTTTTTAATATCAGATTCTTCTTTTTCTTTCTCTTTACCCTTTGCAGAGGACGAGCATTCAGGCCCGCATTACCACCGTGAGAGACGCAATGCCATCAGCTCCCACGCACCGAGAGGGGGGGGCCACGACAGGACCATCAGCGAGGAGCCCTCCACCTCCACAGAAGAACGCCCCTCCCTGCTCAAGAAGGAGCTGCATGGGTCCCTGCCCCACCTGACTGACCATGGCCTTCCATACCGAGGCACTCTGTTCACCATGGACCCCCGCAACGGCTACCTAGACCCACACTATCGTAAGTCACAAAATACTTGTTAAGTAAAGAAACAACAAAGCTCAAGGACATGTGTGCAGCACCCCAAAGCATCAAGGCCAAGTTAGGCTCTTTACTGTAGGTGAGAGGCAGGACTGCCAGTTGCTTGATTTAGTCTGACAGATTAGCCTCTCTTGGGCTCAGTCTTGCCCACATACACACACACTTTGCGAACACATGCACGCACACTTGTCTTTTTTTGTGCCTGGGAAGTTAGTATGGGGAACGGCCAGCGTAGGTTCTTAATTCCCTCATTAGGAGCCTGTCTGAACACAGTACTCTGCTTTCCTTCATCAACACACACTTCAAAGCCCCAAAGCAGCGCCGCGTCAAACCTCACCACCCCCTACTCTGCCTCTTTCTCTCTCTCTGGGACTCAGAGACTGTGTGAGAGAAAGGCAGTGAACAGATGAGAGAGAGAGAGAGAGAGAGAGAGAGAGAGAGAGAGAGAGCGAGAGAGAGAGAGAGAGAGAGAGAGAGAGAGAGAGAGACAGAAAGAGAGACTAATAGAGATGGAGCCCGAGAGATTGTGGTGTAGGGAAAGCTGTGGCTTGAGTGAGATACCAAAGATCATTTTCAAAAAAAGGTGGGATAACAGTAGGAGTTAGATGAAAGTGAAGCTGTGTGTGTATGTGGAAAAAGAGAACAGGAGATAGATGATTGTGGAGTAAGAGGCTGATTAGGAGGTTAATTCAGCGACCACTGTAGCCAGGACTTAGCCTGCAGACAAGGATTTGATGTGATAGCTTGTTTAGTTTGGTTAGTTCGGTTAAATTGGCTCTGAATTGGGGCAGACAGAGTGAGACAGAGATATTTTACTCCAGTGGCAGTAATGAAAATTGCAGTGGACCCCAACCGTATACTGTAACTCTATTTATTCAGCCACTTCATTAGCTACTGCTCCCTCGTGCTTGGTTGCCCGAGAGTCACCAAGGTGCCTCTTTAAGGGAAAGGTTACTCCAAACCAGGCAATGGTGCTGTGGACAGGGCCCTCAAGGGCAGAACATTACTGCCCATTACATCCTGACCTAACTCAGCAACACTGCCACTTCTCATTTTATGTATGTGTGTGGGTATGTGTGAAGGAGCTCGGAGGTTCCAGACCAGTGAAGCCGTGGGGTGGAGTGGGGGAGAAGGGGTGGTCACTCTGAGGCTTGGGGTCATGTGGAAAAGTCACAGTCTGAAATGGAGAGTTCAAAAGCAGCAGGAAAAGTCAAAAGGGCCGTAGAGCTTCAAGAGGCTTTCTTTGTGCATTGGGGCTCAAGAGGCTGGAAGACTTGCAATCATACAAGGCACTGGAGTAGAGCGCAGTGATGCTTGCTGGGAAGCTGCAGGCATGATGAACATGGATTTGATCCTACTAAAGCACTGCTTCTTCCACATTTTTATATAAAAGTCTAGTGTTAGGGCCGGAAAAAAAAAAGACTTCAATTTCACTGCGATCATTTGAATACAATTGACCAAATGCAGCTCTAAAGAATTGGAGAATTTGCAGCTTTGACATTTTGGATGTAATTGCAATTCAAAAACGTCACTTTGGGCTCTAGAAATTGAACATGGGCATTGGAAAAAAAATGATTTTCTTTATCTTTTTGTTGTCAAAAATGATTTAAGGATTAATCAATTGAAATAATACCAGTCAAATAATCAATCATGACGTTACAAAAAATTGTCTGTAAATATTCAATAACTCAACCCTAACCCTAACATCAACAAAGGTTTCAAAATCCCCACAGATTTTGTACTTGTAAAAGGTGTATGAAAAACAGTTTCTAGTGTTTTTCATTGATTTGAATTCTCTGATCTTGACTGTTCAGGAAGACTTATGATCTGAGATGAGAGTTTTACACATTGCTGTGTAAAACACCTCCTCCTGGCCCCAGGTGTTGAGGACATGGGGTGTCCCTGAAGGCGGCGGTCCCATTCTGTCTGATTGAACCCAGTACCAGAGCTCAATCCCCATGAGCTTCGGCGGTCTTCGGGTCAGCACAACCAAAGGGTTCCCCTTAAAACCTCCACTTCCCCTCCCTCCCTCCGCTGCTTTGAACCAGAAGCCTGTAGCGTCTGTCGCCACTCCTGCGCCACAAGGTGTAAAAAAGCCACTGGCTCCTGTTCTGGTTTCTGGTTCCATACACATGTAAGCACACACACACAGCCGTGACTCCACCAGCGGTAGTCCCTCTGTATGAGGGCTTTGTCACCTCCTAAATTCATCCCAGGTGTGTGCATGTGTGTGTTTGTGATTGAGAGGGGGCCCTAAGCCTTTGTGCTGTGCTTGCATAGTGTGCGACGCCAGGCAGCAGACAGCCAGGTAAATCCGATTACTCTTAGTGCGGGTGTGTGTCAGTGCTTAATGTGCCTAAATGCGACGGCACCTGCAGCCTCCCCACACCTGGTCGCTGGGTCGTTAACGTGCTGCCCAAATCTCTGGGAGGCGTAGGAGTCGAACAACAAGAGGGGGGGGGGGGGGGTTATCTTCATGGGCCTGTGCTCGGGTAAATCTTTTCTATTCACCCAGACTTGTGATCTCCCACTCGTCATACGTCCGCGGCCTAAGACTGTGTTTACACACCCACTTCAGTGTAAAAAGGAAGAGGCACTGAGGAAACATCGCCCCTATTGTTAGCATTAGCTAATTGTGGTGATGCCTGAGTCTTAGCCGCTTTTCTTGGGCAAACATTGGATAAGAGTCCACATCCTTCTTACCACAACACTAATACATGGGGCTTTGCTGTGGGATAAGAAGAAAGGATTGAGATGTGGATTAATGAGGGAGAAGTCGTTTTTTTAAAGATCTTAATTGTGTAGAAGTGTGAATGGGATGCGCAGCGCCGACATCTGTTTACATTGTATGCTGATTAGCCGGTCAGTGGTCTTGCAGCAACAGTGAGCCCACTTGCTGGCAAAGCATCTCTGCTTCCTCCGAGGGGATCTTCTTCTTTAAAGTGTCTCTTTCTTAAACACTTGCCCTTCTTTGCCAGACTAAACACATCCATGGAGGGACTTAAAGCACATCCTTTTCAATAGCTCTCTTGCAAATGTTAAAACTGCACAGAAACACCCCGAGAATGTTTAGTGAAACAATGGCAACTGGAGGAAAGTACATTTGCCAAGCTTTAAAGACAATTCATAAGTATATTGGCAGGGAAGTGACCTAAGTTTTGTGGCACTGCTGTATTTGTGATACAGTAGGTCATTAATAGTAGCAGAGACACCCTTTTAAACGTGTATCCAGGCTGTGATGGCTGCCTATCAGTCTAATAGTCTTTAGGTTAGCTCCTTAAAAGAAATCAAGCGCAGATTTTGCTGCCAGGGCCTAATCCCCACACCAAAGCCTTGCTGTCCTTGACTGATCTCAGAAACCATGCCTGCTAAGCTTAAGGCAGTGAAAGTATGGATCTCTTGGCTGAAGGATTCCTTTACATGTCTCTCAGTAACCCTGCTCTCTGAGCCTGTCCAAAGGTGACTGCTACCTGGATCATAGTGGCCCTGTGTTCTGGGAAAGCTAGCAGTAACACTGAGCCATGGCGTAAAAACCCGTCCCGGGGTTTTATGATGTGGTGGGGGTGGTGGGTGTCCAGTCACAGGGGTTAAACTCTAAACTGCTGTGCTGGGCTGATCTCAGGTCTACTGGGCCGTAACACGCCAGCCGCTGCCCTGGCGTCATTCTGTCTGCCTCAATATCAAAATGCAGCTGACCACTGAACTGAATGAGCTAGCTGTCACCAATCTGAACGTGATCCGCACAACAATGGCCTCTCTACTCTCCACAGTTAATTACAGTGCTCGGTCTTTCAGTTCATATGGACTGCACGGGACCTTTCCATATGCCTTGATAGAGCGGGAGTGGAAAATAGAATACAAAAAGAGCAATTATAAAGTATGTGTGAAGGTGGAAAAAAGTTACAACATAGCACTCTGAAAGAACAAACTTTCTGGCCTCTTGTTGGTTAAAACATGACAAGTGCTGGCTAGGATGTAAGTTCAAACAGCCTCCCCCAGAAGAACTGGGGAGTACAGAAGAGAGCCTAGGGTGAGAAGACACGTGCCTGTTTCAAGGGTAAGTGTTTGTCTTTGTGATTGTTTCAATATTGGCTTTTTGAGCGTGGTGGCATGATGTAGTCCCCCAGAGGTGTGCCGGCACAGAGAAGCCTCGGGCACACTGCAGGCAATGGAGAGGGATCCCTTCCACCCACCTCCTTTCATCAAGAAAGAACAACATGGGCCAGCGCTCTGCTGTGGCCCCTTGGCCCAGCGCACCAGGGATAATCAGATGATCCCCTTTTATACAGCTTATTAGAGGCATCTCATGCTGTACGATGGGCTATATTTTCATGCATGTGCCCCTTTGTAGCGCATGATGATTTACGGGGGTTAAGCAGAGTTTGAAGTGCTGCGAGAATGCACTTTCATACCATCTTAGGGTCATGTGGTGCTCTTGCCACAAAGCTGATCCGTGTGAACAGAATATCTCTGAATAATGCCAGTTCTTATTAACAATGACAAGATTAAATGTGAAGGGGCTAAGAAGAATTTCCAGAGAACTTAAGATGTTCAAAGAAGAACACTCAGCATTTCTTGGTATCATTGTCACAACATCTGTCAGAGTGTTTTACTTCCTTTTAAAATGAGTTTGGTTAATCAGTCAAGTCACAGAGGCAAACAGAAACAATAGCACTTTGCTGATGTTGTGGGAATTAAAATGAAGATTTGCTGCATCTTGTTCATTCAAAAGGAGAATCAACTTCAGCCAACAATGACATTAAGTTGACAAAATGCTTATGGGGCTCCATGAGCTTTTTCTCTCCTCTTTAAGTTACCCTGTAGTCTCCAGTAGGATAATCACCTCTGTGTGCTCCGGAGGAATCAAAGTTATTTCATGCCTTTTTTCATGTTTGCTTCTCGTATATCCGAATCTCATCGCTCCTTTTTGTATTTGCATTCCTCTCACATAGTGGCAAAGATAAGCACCCTTATCCCTT